TCAGAAAATCTGTGAAAATTGATCAAGCTGCGAAAGTGAATAAAGTTCATCTACATCCAATATATTTGTAAATTAATCCAAGCAATAGGATAATATAATTGAAATCGAATTCATGCGTCTTTTTTTGATACTTAATTCTTTGGAAAGGTAAGATATATGATTTGATTACAAAAGCACAAAAGTGATAATTAAATCTGCATAAAACCAATACCAATTGTTGCTTCAGTTAGGCTGCATTCAGTGCACTTTAAAAGCTAAAAACAATCAAGTCAAAATATGCGCATACAACGAGAACATTAACATAAAACACATACACGTATAAGAACAAAACACGTTGCCAAACAACACAAATCAGGATCAGAAGATTGAGAATGGAAGCTCTGAAGGCAGAATAGGGAGCAGAGCCCGAGACAAAAGACTCTCATTGACATGCTCATTAATAATGTTATTGCCTTTTGTGCGATAAGTGTCAAGAAATTATTACAAAAGGGCGGCTCGCTTCGCAGAACAAGGCGATGGCGGTAAAAAGTTGAAGTAATTCAAACTTTTAATTGTCTGACTGTCTGATTGTCTGATTGTCGAGAATCAACCCACTTTTCACTGAAGGGCCTCCGAGACTTCTCACTGCCAACAACGACTCCGATGGTGATTCTGATGGTTATAGTGATGGTGATGGTCATGATGATGGCAACAGGAAAGGAACAATTCAAACTAGAGCGTGTGACTCTGCTGAATGGATTTGCATACGAGTATGAGCGGTTAGGAGGCTGCCAACTGTGCCGCCGGCTAATAATAAAGCATATTACGGGCAATTGTTTGTCCTCAAAAGGGTTCGGATTGCATGTCACTGCTGTTGCCGTTTGCGAACTCTACATCGTTCTTGACTGCTCTCGCCTGTCTGCTGAGTTGCTTTTTGTATCCACATACAACACACATCTGGATGCTTCAAAATATTTTCAACAATCGTGGTTTGCTTGTTTGAACACCTTTGAATATCACATAGCCACTGCTCTTTGTGCAAAACTATTTTATCTGATTTGTACCTTTGTTTGCTCCAAAGGACACATTCTGTTTATTATTCTTTGCCGTGCTTATTGCGGAAAATCCTTTTTGTTGCTTCCGCACTCATCGCTCTGTCTGTCAACAGACTTGATGAGCTTGTTGAAAGTGCACTGTTCTCGTTTTTATTGTTACCAAATGGACGAACACGCTCTTGTTCATATGTATAAAAAAAATGCTTAAAAACGGTTTAATGGAATCGGCATGCAAAAAAGGTTTGCACAGAGGATTTTAGAAAAAAGCACGCGAATCTGGAACATCTACTCAGTGTTAACTGTACAAAGCAACTATTAAAACTATATCGGACTGTAAAGTGAATATTTCCTCTATCAAAAAAATGTCCATGAAAATAAAATTAGGTTTGTATAAAAGTGATGTCCGAATTGCATTTGAAAAGGGTTCCACTCATAAGAAAAACTTCTCCAACAATACAATTCAATAACATAAAGCTCTAAATCATACAGTTCATTGGGAAGCTACCGCCACTAATAAGTAGATTACAGTAGTTGGAATACAATTTCAATAATTCAATTGAATGATTTGAAGGCCTTTATAGGAGATAACGTGGGTTACAACGAAATACAGGAATTTGATTTCGGTATGTTTTAAAATGTAGTGACCGCAGCTCTAAAATAAAATATAAGTTCATGGTATTGTTCTAATAGATTAAGCTCACAAATAAAAGAATGGGTAACAAATAAAATATTAGGTACATTGCCGAGATTTTATATTGCTAACAAGCTTAGTCAAATCAAATAATTAGGTCGCCTTCAAAAATTATATGTTTAGATGACAATTTCACTTTTCTGTATTTTCCAATTCAAAACCAAAAACAATGATTGTTAGAATTATCTCCAATGCCTAATTTTCACATGTATGCAATTTTCTCATGAATTTTCTCAGCCGTCATTACCGGTAGATTGAAAAAATATTGTAATAAAAGTATAATTATCATCGAATACTTAATGCACACGAATTTATTTATAATAATAATAATTCTTTTAAATAATTGCAAAACTGTTTAAAAACATGAGTTTTCAAATTTCTCAACAAAATTATAAGGAAAAGCTCCAGGGTTCAAAGTACTTTTTTTCGGGTCCTCTGACCAACTGGACCCTTGTTGAATACCTACCATGTCGGTATTTCCATTCTCTCCATTCTCACTTAGTGTCTCCTTTGTTGCCCATTTGATTATGCCTTGAGCAGCCTTTTAACCATTCCATTCTAGCCAGCTTCGTTATTGTGGGCACATATTGATAGTGCCTCCACTGCAGGCTGGCTGGCTGGCTGGCTGGCTGAGCTTGACAGTCGCGGCTTCAGCACAGCAGGTGGTACTGCTCGCTGGCGTGATGCGCTCCCGTGATAATGGCGAACATGCCATCCCACCACTTTGCATATAAACGCGCGCTAATGGACACCAAAGGTGACAGCAAGTGCTGCTAAATTGGCAAACATTGAATTTTCACCTTCACAGCGGTGGAAAACCGTGACAATTTTCGGCACAGCGGTGTGCTTTTCCAGAAACTGAAATGAGATGGGCAGCGATGTGAAGTAGCTGACTACAATTTGAAGCGTCAACTGCCACTGATAATGCCAGCCCAACGCGTTCAGACCACAACAGGCAGTTGGTGGGAGGGTGGATGAATGGGTGAGGCTGTGTCCAACTAAAAGAGCTTGCAATCTTGGAAGAAAGAGCAGTAGTGCTGTGTTCTGATAGAAATAATAATTCAACACAGATACAAACACAATCACAGTGTTAGTAAAAGCTACACTACTGAAATAATACCCATGCTTTGAGCATGAAGATCGAACATGTTTATCATTCTAAAAAATTGAAGACAAAATTAAATGTTAGCTTATAAATAAGATAATACAAAAATATGTATTTTCCATTTTTCACTAAAAGCCAAGAAAAACAAAAAGAAAACATACATTCCAAAAAAGTTCAATTGAAAATGTATCCTTAAAGATCATGTAGCGACTCCATTAAAGTGACCAAAGGAAATAGAGGCTTTTATGGTGAAATGGTATTTATGGAAAATTAAAAAAAAAAAAATTACACCATTCCTAATATGCAGCCCTATATGTAATGAGGAAAGTTTCCAGAAATTTTCAATAGATTTTAATAGATACCTTAAATACAATCTTAGTACGCAGCTCACAAGAATACTTTTTGAAATTCTTATAAAATGTATTAAAGCCCCTAATATTTCACTATCGGTATATAACCACATGTGGTGGTCAACTGGTTCTGGTTCTGTGCATCCAACCATTAGTTGATTAAATTAATGAAAACGATCATACATAAAATGATAGCGAATGATAGCGTTTAGCACCAGCATTAAACTGTACTTGCTGTACTGCTGTAGTCGTCCTATTCGGGTGCTCATCAATAACCCAGCACTGCCACCACCTCTTGAGTTTAGCACTGGGAAGAATTTGGCAAGCCGCTTTTGGTTGGTTTTTGTTGTATTGCTTTTGACCCAAGCTTTATGAGCACGCAAAGAAAGTAACTACATAATATGTGTGAACGAGACATGGACCCAGCCAAAGAGAGAGTTGCCAAAAGAGGAGTGGGGGCAGAAGCTGAGAATAAGGTGGTGCAAACCGGTCTCGGCATACCTCAATTTCTAGCCACGACCTGTGCAAAATGTGAAGAGAAACGCAGTGGGTCATTGCATCAACCTACTGTTATGTTGTTGTCGTCGTCTTCGTCGTTTTTCCTGCTGCTTGGGCCGTTGTTGTTGTTGTGCTAACTTGTGGCCTTTTCTTGATCGTAACTGATTACAATTCAATATCCATATCCTATGCAGAAGCTGAGCATTGGCATCCAAAGGAATACGCCACATGCTTTTCAAACTCTTTCAAGATCTTGCAATGGAGCATCTCCTTCCCATGTAAAAAGGCATATACTACTCGTATATATGTGTTCTGCAACAACAGCGTTTAAAATTCCCAGATTGCTTCCTTTTATTATATTTTTTATCTGTGAAGTGCAAAGTTAAAGAAGAAGCATTCTTCACCAATTTCACCAAAAACGAATTACACAAACGATGCCAAATAGATGTAAGTCGCGGTTGTTCAATATGCTAGCTAGAATACAAATTTCGATCTACTTACACCTCAAAACGCTCATAATTTTAATATTTTACGTCATTAGGTGCTCGGGTTTTGTAACGTAAAGTTGTTTTTTATTTCAAAAAATTAATTTGTGTTTTAGAAGATACGAAATAAAGTTGGCCTAATGAAAATGTAAGCAGTTGAAATTTATGCTTTAATATAAAATAATGTTATTGAAGTTTATTATATGACCATAATAGCTAAAAATAATAAGCTCGAGTGACCCAGTTTCTAAAACCATAAATGTTTGTGTTTCTAAATCATGAAATGTTTATGTTTCTATATCCAGATTGTTTCGAATATTAAAGAACCGTTTCGGAAGTAGAAGCTAAAATGGAACTGAATGTAATGCTTTACCATCGTAACGCAATCGAACTTGAGAAAACACATTCTATAATTCACTTCAGGATGTCACATGAGAATAAATAAATAGGTTTATAAATCACAACTAAAGTGTTAATCAAAAAGGCACAGAGCTGCTAAAATCAGATGTGGGGATTGAAAAAAGCAACGAATGGCGATTACACTAAACACAACATACAAGTGATATAATCAACATAAAAAATGTGTTCGAAAAACTCGTTACTAATAATTAAATTAAATTAATTGATTAAAGTCAACTTGAATAAACCATTCCTAATTAAGTTAAGAACATTTGGAAGCAACTTTTTCAGATTATATACTATACGTGTTTTTGGCAAAGTTCCTTTTCCACTGTATACTAAATACCGCTTTTCTAAATAAACTTGGATAAATATATATTTCTAATTAAACATAGATAAATATATATTGAACTTTCCTATTTTATCGCGTCCTTGCAGATGAACCAGCTGTGCAAAGTGTGCGGCGAACCTGCGGCTGGATTTCATTTTGGAGCTTTCACTTGTGAGGGGTGTAAGGTAAATATTATTTAGAACTATTTATTTATTTAATAATACTCGTAAGTTGACAAGAACCGGATGTTGGAAGAGGTGACAAAATACCAACGTTTTAATAATGCATTATGAACTAAGGTTAAGAAAGGTGTCTAAATAGTACAGATCCATCCACATAATACTCCTATCTAATAACGGCTTTCTCTCTCGAGGGGGAAATTGAATTGCCTTCCGACCACGTATGCCCCGCAATTTACAGTCAAGTTAACACAGGGACCCTTATAGACCAGCAAACAAACATTACAATAATAAAAAATTACCTAATAAATCAGCTATAAGAGCAAGCAAACGTAATATTAATTAATGGCCTTTCAAGGTACATTATTTTAAATAAATAAAATAAATAAAAAAAACAGAATCACTTGCAGTGCGACACGCTATGCAGAATCTAATTCAAATTGAAATCGTTCCCAGTTATACTTAACACTCAAATATAGTAGCTTAGCATCATATGATTCGCAAATAGCCTGCGAAAGAGAAACCATAAAGAGCAGAAATCAACACAAATAAAAACTACATTCGAATGACGATGACTTTCATCTCAAAATGTGCGAAAATGGTTTGAAGCTAGGCTTTTACTTTTCAACAAAACATTATTGCTATAATTAAAATTCAATTCGGCAGATAAATCGATTTTTAATTTACTTTAAGTAGATACACGTACTCATACACACATAGGCAGCCTTCAAATGTCATGGGAAAATTTCTGCAAATTTGGAGCAACGGCTCGTAGTGGTTTGTGGTTTTATTTTGTTGCAGGAGGAAGGGTGGAGGTACAGCGTCGCCGAGCTGTGAGATCAAGGCGAACACAATTGTAAACTGCAGTCAATCAAATAAAAATTACATGCATATTAGATGAGACAGCAGAAATCGAGCATCAAACTCAAAAGGCGAGCTGTGCTCAATGAACTTCAAAAATAAAGCCAGCAGACTCAACTGGCATCTGGCAACTGGCTTCTGGCTGAAAGGAAGGCGAAGACGCAGTCGGAGACAAAGGGGATGGGGACTGGTCGATATTGGCCAGTGCAGCATGAGTTGGCGAAAAGACAAAAGAGCTGGGCTAAATAGTTCATGAAACTATACATGAGGAAAGAGATACCAATGTGTTTGCAAATTTTTGTAATTGAAGCAAGTAGGTCGGTCAAGTGCGGTATTGCCGTCCGTATTTCCGTCCATCTCTTTCTATCTTAATTTTAATAGTTGAATAGTTGAATAGTTGAATATACAAGTACATGTATTTCCCATTGCAATTCACAGTCCTTCTTCGGACGCACATACAACAATGTGGCCGCGATCGCCGGCTGCAAGCACAATGGGGACTGTGTCATCAACAAGAAGAATCGCACGGCCTGCAAGGCATGCCGTCTGCGCAAATGCCTGCTGGTGGGCATGTCGAAGAGTGGCTCCAGATATGGGCGTCGCTCGAACTGGTTCAAGATCCACTGCCTGCTGCAGGAGCAGCAGACTACGGCCGGCGGCATGGGTGGCAATAGTGCCGGCACTGGCGCCAGCAACGCCAACTTGGATCAGTTGGCACGTCTGCAGCACGCCAGCAATCAGGCGCGACAGACCTACCAGGACAAGACCAATCCCTGCATCAAATCAGCCACCGCTACAGCCTCGCCCGCCATGACCATTCAGGCAGCAGCAGCGACATCGGCCGCCTCTTCGACGACGTCGAGTCTGCCGAGTTTTCTGCAAGCAGCCAAATACCTGAACGAACAGCATCGCCAACTCAAACTGGAGTCCCGCCTCAGCAATACGCCCAGCGATTCGGGAGCCTCTTCTGCAGGGGATCCCACAGACGATGGTACAAGCGTTGTGAGCGCCAGCACGCCAACCCTAAAGCTGCGGAGGGGTTTGCGCAAATTCGAATCCAACTTCGCGGTTCTGGAGCCAAGCCAACACGCAAGCGAGGATATTATGCACAGCACCGAACAGCAGCGCCGCCATAAGGAGTTGCTCGATATATTTCGCAGTCACTCCGAACCGCTATATAGTCCCTTTGCTCCTTTCACCCTGCCTCCCACATTGCTTGCCTGCGCACCGCCCCTACCAGTCGCCACCATGGCGACGGTCTTCAAGGACCAATTCAAATCTGATCTTCTGTATACGGATGCTGCAGCCGAAGAGGAACCCATCGATCTGTCCTTAAGATCCCGCACAGCACACGCAAGTCCTGCCACAGCGCCCAGTAGTCCAGTTACAAGCTCAAGTCATCCTGCACCCCCTCACTGCTTGGGCGAGGCGTCAACTTTTGTTCGTAAGTCGACGCCGCTCGATCTGACGCTCGTTCGATCGCAGACTCTGACAGGATAATGGGTCTGAGATGGGACCACCCGCTATACAACCTAGCTAAGACGCTCTATGGATATTGCCGTGATTGATTGCCTTCGGGGGCAAGATCGTGTTGAAGTCATTCAGCTTCCCACTTTGGTTTCGGCCAAATGGAGCTGAGATTTGATATTGGTGCCAGTGAATGTACAAATTCGTATTTTGTTTTAGCTCAATTACATAGCCACATGTAGTATGTATGTACATACAAGTATGTACGCGTATGTATGTAAGCCACAAGCACACACATAGATCTGTAAAGAAAGTGAATATCATTGCATGTAAGTAAAATGAATTTTAGCCAAATTTTACACATGACTGTCAATTGAATTCAAGTTCGTTTTGTAATTAACCTAAGTTATCATTAGTTAGTTGGTAGTTCAATCTAATTTATACACGTAAGTTGTTTTTATACCTTTCTGTTTGTTTTTTACTTTTAACTTATTTATTTTATAGCCAATTAAGCTAATCAAATACAAATAAATCAATTTGATAATAGTTAGTCAGGCCGTGTATTGCATTACCAGGTTTTGTGATTCTGAGACGGATCGAGAAGAAGTAAACCTAACTGGCATAAGTTATATGCAAATATTACTCTCGCCTACTACATTCTATATACTCGGCCATATTAATTCTTAGAATTGCAGTCGTCAAAAGGTCATGAATTCGATGGATATGGCCTTGCTCCATAGTGAAGAGTGAAACAAGCATTAAATATATTATGATGAAAGCTCTGTCTTCCGATTGGCTCATCTCATTGAATTGAAGGCTGCAGACGGGCTGCAAAGATATACAATACTTTGTGCAAACACGCCCCCTGAGAGTACAGAGCAGCGACAAAGTGAGACACCAGAGCTCAATGAGCTGCTCCAACTACATATACTACTATGGACAATTAGTGACGTCAACAACAACAACAATAACAGCATTAACAACCGTGTCTATAAGTGTGTAAATATGTAAGTGGGGAGCACATGGCGTATACTTTTAGTTACTTATACGAATATATATTAAACAAATAAATGCGGCTAAATTGTGGCGTTGTGGCTGTGGCTGAGGCTGAGGCTGAGGCTGTGTCTGAGACCGACGAGTTGTGATCGCGTGCGTACTTGGAATGCATTTATGCACCAGACGTAGCTAACGAAATGTGGCCGCCAGGTCAGGCCTGTTGCCACGGCCGCAACTGCAACTGCAACAGCAGCAGCAGCAGCATCAACAGCAGCAGTGGCAACAAGAGAGGCCGAGGCAACAAGTGGCTGTTGCAGATGTAGATGCTTGTTGGCGATACTTTCGCAATGATTTTATTGGTGTCGTTGATAATAATCGGTAACCATGGCTGATTTCCACATCAAAAAGAGACGACGACAGCGACGGCGTTGCTTGTGTCTTTGAATTACAAGTAAGTACAAATAAATATACGTGACAAGTTTTTGCAGAACTACTTGCCATCGTACCATCGATTGTCCTCTTATAATCAATTATGCCTGTTCATCTCCAAAGCCTCAGTCGACTTCTTATACTTACTTTAAAAATTGTCAATTGCCTTAAGCACCCACCTAATTCTTCTAATTTCTAATGGCTGAATACAAGTCTATCCTTAAGCTGTTTTGCTCAATATATGACACATGTGCTAAGCTGAAGCTTATAAATCAACTATTTGAATATGATATGACCTTATGATGACCTTAATTTAGCTACCGTGTAAGGGCACACAGGACTTTTCAACCAAGAATTATATACAAATTATATCGATATTCTTACAAGGGTACCTGAAGTGACACCACATTGAAAGGTTAGAACACTTAACATATGTATGTAAGTAATATAAATTGTTAGTCATGTATGATCAATTCTCTCGTCTTTAATTATTAGGCTTAAAAATCTGCAATAAAACACGTGCACATTACTATACAGTAATATGACAGCAGCAGCACCTGTGGTGAGAGATAGTCAAGATGCCATGCTTTTTTGAAAGTCTAAATTTGATCTTGGGAAGGAATTATTATTTTCGAGAGTGTTACACTTTTGTTCTAATACTTTTATCTCTCTGGAGGATAAAACGATAATAGATCATTGTTACTGTAGAGTATTTTATATTTATATATATAATACTAGCGTCCTGCCCCTGCTTCGCACGGGTATTTTTACAAACATTTTACAAATAATACCTTTTATAACACACACACACACACTGAACACACATACATGCTATGAGTTAATAATTATTATTTTGATATTTGGATATTATTATTTTAATGATTTTTTGTTCGTTTTTAGATTTTTTTGTTATTCTTTATTAGGTCAGAGGTTCTCTGTAAAAGATATTTGATGTTTTATTTTGTGGTTGCAAAATAAATTGATTTTCAGGAGCTCCGACCCGTGATAGGTCAACATACCGTAAAACTTTGCTTTCGTATGTCGATCACTACTAATTCGAAGGCTTGGCCTTGGGACTACCGGAAATTGAAGCCATATAAATGATCAAATGGGATCATCGGTATCCTCGTTATATGAGCTAGTTGACCAGTTGCTGGGCCGTTGATAATAGTTGCTACACTTAAATTGTCCTGCAATTCCTTAATAAGCAGCCTCGTCCCATTGCACATTCTTGTAAGGCATTAATTTCTCAGAACCATGATTGCAATTCCGAATTTTACCGTCAATTCATGTGGCGGCAGTCCAGAAGGGTTTAGTGAATTTAAATGTCTTCAATATTAATCACGGTGTCGATCGATATCGATATTGCCTTAATATTGAAAGTGACAATGTTTCCAGGATGATTATGAACCGACAGCATGCAATTCAGGAATATTTTATTATTGGCGTTTTAGTAAGGATTCCATTCTTTTTTGCAAATACATGTATAATAGAGCCCATGTTAACCGTCGATAGTGTAGCTTCCCAACAGTGAAAGAATCCATTAAAGCAGTCCAGTAGATCCGGAGCCTTTTCAATTCAAACAAACAAACAATCAAATCTTTCCTCTTTATAATATTAGTATAGATATTAGTATTTATATTATATTTCTTCCTTTTGACTCCACTTGGAGGCTTAGGGCTTCTACAACAACTGTCCGTCTAACTCCATTTCTAGCCACCTGTCTAGCTGTGTCCCATGTTATGTTGTTCTGGGATAATTCCTTAAGGGTGGTCCGCCGCTGTCTAAAGTTCGTAATTCCTTGGCAGTTTTAAGGATTCGTTCAAATAAAATAGTTGTGGTTTCGTTTCAAGTTATGGATCGTAAATAGCAATCTCACTTTCTAGCGCAAGAGCAATGAAATCCGGGTACGCCAGATATCACATTTATATACTTGTATGTATATTTGTAATCGTCAAGGTAGTTTTGAAATTATCACACAAATATATTGCAAATTTAACTTATTTTTTTGAGTAGATTCTTATATAGATACATACATATATGTTTGATTAAGGTTTATACAAAAACAGGAAGTGTGTTTTAAATAATATAACACAATTAATACGATTGCACCCATTTTTCCTCTTAGGGGAAATGGCATAGCTACATTATTTTGGCTCTCACTAGTCATGTCTACTTTCTGAGTTGAATAGAAAAGTGGTAGTAAAGGCGTAACTTCTATAAACAAATTATAATCAAATGATATTACAATTAAAATACATCTATGGCAAGGGTATGGCAGGTGTTTCATACTGATTTTTGTTTTTCTTTAAATTCTTGTTCACCTTTCTGCACTCTTAACGCATTAAATATCAACATAAAAAATATATCGAAGTGTCTTACTTTGTCAAGATTTTCTGTATATTGATGCAGTTATACTCGTAATATTCAACCAGTTAGACGATACAAAATCATGGGAGCCAGAGAGCCCTATTATGTACAACTGCAAATTTTAGATACCTATGACAAATCTATACTAGAGTGAACTGTTTGAGAAAAATGCAGGTAAGGAAAAAGGGTACCTTGAATATCTAGAAGCTCGCATTTATCACCAACGACTGAAACTGGAATTTATGCTCATGCTCTGGCCAAGTTTCAGCATCATCCAAGCATAATAGAAAATCCCTTCTTGTCAATGCCTTTGACATAAAATGAAATTCAACAGAGCCATATGTACCTTCATTCGAGTATGTCAACTTGCTAGACAGCAGCTAAGCATTTTTGGGGCAATTCCTTCTTATAAACTCATATCACAGTAACTGTTTCGCCTTGGTTCAGGTTATGTGTGGCAGAGGCGAGCCGTCGCGTCGCAAGCCGTTCAGCAGCAGCCAGAGTAGGAGTCTAGTTTCAGTGAGGAAGCTCAAGGCACATGGCCACACAGTGTCGTATTGTACGTAGCACAGTGGGAATGGACGCCACATTATAGATAAAAAATCAAATTCATATTCAAATATTAAATATATGCCCCAACACAGCAATTTAAAGCAAAAGCTCGTTTAATTACTATTATTATTATAGCCTGTACCCAAAGGGTGAAAGGCTATACTAGCTTTGTGCGCATGTATGTAACACACAGAAGGAGGCGTGGCAGACCCCACAAAGTATATATATTCTTGATCAGGATGACAAGACGAGTCGATATAGCCATGTCCGTCTGTTCGTCCGTCCGTCTGTCCGTCTGTCTGTATGAGCGCAAGCATCTCAGGAAGTACAAGAGTTGGAATAAACTTGGTATCGAGGTTCCCCTAAGTCAGGCAGGTTAAGTTTATTTTTTTATTCTGGTACACCTGATATACCCCCACTCCCCCGCCATTCCTGTTTTTTTTATAAATTCAGTAATTCTTGGAATTTTGAAATTAATTTTGGTAGGTACATCCAACCAGTACTAATGTGTCCGGGTGCCAAGTTTGTGAAGAAAGTTATAGCCATAAATAAAATCGCTGCTCATAATAAAGCTCTGCCGGCAGCGCTGCCCGCAGCTGTTGTTGTTGTTGCTGCTTTGGTTCAACTTTGTGCTGCATACATTTTATTTATTTTTATTTATTTATTTATTTATTTATTTATTTATT